GGGTAATAGGGATGGGTGTGTCAGAGGCAGTGCAGTTGGCGCAGGATAGAGCAGGGTTTAGGGCTGTTGTGCATAGGGTCGCTATGAGTCGCAAACAACTCGACAGCACATAACAACAACAACAACAAATGTGTGTACCGTCAAATCAGATCTGACTGGTACAGAAGGCGATTGTTCTTCCCTCTTCGTCAGAGCATATGGTGGATTTGAACCGTGCACCTCTGGGATTGCAGTGCAGCTTCTTGCTATTAGGCCACCAGAGCTAGCCGATGGCATGTTCTTTTTCATAGTATATATTAATAATATAGGATTGTTATATACTCCCACTCCAGTGTATACTGCTTATTCTCTAGTTGTGTCGCCGCATCTGTGATCCTGATATTTCTTCTTCCCTTATCATGAAACTTCATTACCACTCACTCCTGTGATATTTTAGCCTGATCTCTTAGCTCCTGTGTTTCTTCTCACTTGCTTTACTGACATATTTTGATACTTGTTCCTAGAGCAGTGGTGGTGACACTGTGCCATTGTGGGAAATCCTGTTTAGAGAAAGATTAGATAGACTTGTAAAGGCAGGCAGGAGAATGAGATTTGATGACATGGAAAAGTGACTTATTTAATACTGGTGCCTATCTAAGGATGCTTGTGCTGGTAATGGTTAGGATCAGAATTTTGTGATTTAAACTAGACGTTGAAAGAATCAATAGGAAATTTATTTACTAAATCGAATCTGAAGGTGTTAAGTAGAAGGAAAAAGAAAAGTCAGCAGGATAAAGACTGACTAGATGATGATAAGTAAGTTATTTTGACTAATAACATGACCTTCTTAATCTTGGCATTTAGCTGTGCATGTTCATTGTTGGCTGATATGATGCCCATTTTCTCAGGCATTGTAAAAGCTGCTGTTGAAGATGATGAGAGCTTGCTTTTCCCAGTCTTAATGGTTAGACTAGCTATAGGGCCAGTTGTTTTTGCTATCGTCATACATATGTGTTTGTAATACAATTTGCCTGTGTTCTCAGTGTTGCTTCCTGTTGGAGAGTGCAAATCAAAGTGGCATTTTGTTTGAGTTATTAGATATCTCTTCACAGCTTGCTTTGACAAGCTTATCAGCTGTCTACCATTCTGCTATAGGCAAAGAAATAGAAATGTGTTTTTTGGTGTGGAGGGGTTTTTGGGTTTTTTTTTTTAATGGAAAGAAAACATTAATTCCCTTTTAGTTAATGACGTAAAATCACATTTTTTTGAAAATTTTATTTTAATGAACATTTACAGAGATTTTCGGTTTCAATTCATTCATTGTTGAACTTTTCTCCCTGCCCACCCCTCCCCCACAAAATCACATTTCTTTGAAAGAACTCGGGATGCTTCTTTATGTTGCAAGGCGCTGTTGCCAGCGTTCCTGTGTACAGAGCACAGAGCAGTGCCTGCTTGTGTGTGACCTTTCCCACGTCCTCCCTACTGTTGCAGCCACTGTGTGGCTCCATCCTGTTGAGGGTCTGTCTTCCTTTTTCACCGACCTTCTCAGGGTTGATATCCTTCTCCAGGGTCTCGTCCTTCTTTATTAAATGCTCCAAGGACATGAGCTGAAGTCTTGCTATTGTCCCTTCTAACGAGCTTCCTGGCTCCTCCTCTTCCAAGACAGGTTTCTTCGTTCTCTGGCAGTCTATGGTAAATTTAACATTTTTCATTTTTAGTTAGCTTGTTCATTTTCTTATTACAATTTTTTAAAAATTTTTGTTTTCATAGCCCACAGCACATTTCTTATTTGTGAACTTTCCCTCATTCCCTTTACACATTGTTCCCCAAGGAATTTGTTGAAAACTTAATGTCTGTTCATTCTTTTTCCAATTTTTATCCTCAAGATTGTTATTTTTTAAAATTGTAAGCTAGGAAACTTTATAGCACATTAGAAATTGGAGAGAAATTTTTGAGGCCTTTCCTAATGCCGGCAGCACACTATGTTCTTGCTATTTCTGTGATTCAGAGTGCCCCCTGATGGCGAAACAAAAATAATTCAGGCACTATTAGAATCTCTGGAACATTCAGAGTTTTTAAGGGGGTTTGTGTGATCCCTAGTCTAAATCTAGTACGTTAATAGTTATATTCAATATTCATGTAATATGCAAGGCATAACCCTGTTTGCTGAAACTGAGGAGGTCCTGAAAAGTGTTGCTGTATGTAGAAGGTCAAAGACTGCAGGCTTCAATGTGAATTGAAGCTCAACATCAAGAAGACAAAGATACTCACTCACCACTGGGCCAGTTGACAGCAACATGATGGATGGAGAAGACATTGAAATTTTTAGCAATTTCAGCTTGCTTGGTTCCACAATCAACACTCTTGGCACCAGCAGTCACAGTCAGGAAATCCTAAGATGAATTGCATTAGGAAAACCTGTTGTCAGGGACCTCACCAAAGCAATAAAGAACAACATTATTGCTTTAGAGACCAAGATGTAGCTGATCCAGGAATGGTAGTTGCAATTACTTGGTTTGTGTCAAAGAGCTGAATAATGACTAAGGATGACAGAATTGATGCCTTTGAGTTGTGGTGCTGGAGAAGAGTATTGAATATACCATGGACTGTTAAGAAAACAAGCAGGTCTGTTTTGGAGGTGAAACAAAGTTGCTTCTTGGGGGCAAGGATCTTGAAGCTCGGTCTCACATACTTTGGTCATGTTACCAGGAGGGACCTGACCTTGGAGAAGGACACCATTCTTGGAAGAGTGGAGGGACAACACAGCAGAGGAAGACCCCAGATGAGATGGATTGACACAGTGACGGTATTAGGAGTAGGGTGTTGAAGTCAGTCAGATTGGCTTAGGATAGGGCAGGTTTCAGAGCTGTTGTGCATAAGGTTGCTATGAATTGGATTTGATGGCACATAAGAACAACATCTTGTATTAATTTCCTTTGGGTGCTGTAACAAAGCATCACAATCTAAGTGACTTAAGACAGAAGGAAATTCTTTTCTCACAGTTTCTGAGGGTGGATATAGAAAATCTAGGTGCCAGCAGGGCCATGTTTTCTTTGAAGACCAACAAGAGGATTCTCCTCTTCTCTTCTAGCTTTGGGTTTTTACCAGCAGTCCTTGATGTTCCTTGATTTGCCCAGCGTAACTTCTGATTGTACCCTTGTCTTCATATGCCTATCTTCCTTCTCTGTGTCTGTCAAAACTTCTCTCTTCTTATTAGGGATGCCATACTAAATGTAAGATCCAGTCTGTTTGATTTGACTTGATTACATCTGCAAAGGCTTTGTTCCCAAATAAGCTCATATTCTGAAGTTTAGGGTAGATGTGAACTTTGGGGGAACATTATTCAACACCAAACCGGAATAGTCTACTCATTGAGCCAGTTCCATCTCATAAAGATCTTTTGTCAGGTTTCCAAGGCTATAGATTGAAATGGGAGGAGGAAACTGCCCATGTCTCCCATGGAAGCCCAGGTGAATTTGAGCTGCTGGAGGAGATGCAGAGCCTTTGGGTTAGCAGCGCAAGTCAGTACAGCCTGCACCACTAGGGCTCCCCAGTAATCGACTAGGAAATTTTGTTTGTTCTAGGTGGAACGGCCTCCTTCTCCATTCTCTACAGCCCCGCAAGCTTCCCTTCCCCCAGTGCCACCACGACTTGATCTTCTACAGCAGCGAGTGTCTATCCCTTCAAGTGTTTCTGGTCCTGGAACTGCTTCAAAGGTAAATAAAGCATTATCCTTTTCTACAGTTTTCTGATTCTGTGATGTGGATTGGTGAGTTGAGTTTTCATTTGCTTCCACCATGTTTCTACAGGCTACTTCTGGCTCTCTTCATAAAGACAAACCATTACCAATACCTCCCACACTTCGCGATCTTCCACCACCACCCCCTCCAGACCGGCCTTATTCTGTTGGGGCAGAAACTCGACCTCAGAGACGCCCGCTGCCTTGTACCCCAGGCGATTGTCCATCCAGGGATAAACTGCCCCCTGTCCCCTCTAGCCGCCTTGGGGAATCATGGCTGCCCCGGCCAATCCCCAAAGTACCAGTAGCTTCCCCAAGTCCTAGTGACCCCTGGGCAGGAAGAGAATTAACGAACAGACACTCACTTCCATTTTCATTGCCCTCACAATTGGAACCCAGACCAGAAGTGCCCAGGCTCGGAAGCACATTCAGTCTGGATACCTCCGTGGTGAGTTCTGATTTTAAAATAATTTCTCCTACTAACAGATGTTTGTAATTGGCATTTAATGGGCTAAATTCTGTGAAAGATTTTGTACAGAATCCAGAAATAATACAGTATGATCCTTATTCTCAAGAAGTATATATACTAACAGAACAAATAAACCATGTTTATGTGTTATAATAAACTATAAATGGTAAATGGTTATGCTTTAGAGGAAGGAGAATTTATCTCTAGATGGATCAGTCAGAGTTTCTGGAAATGATAGCATCTAAACTAATTTGGAAAATGGATATTGTTTTAAGACAAATCGGAGTGATAGTGATGGGTATGCTTATGGTGCATTATGAAATTATCAGATCCCTTAGTTTAGATAGAGCAGAATTTAAGAGAAGGGACTAGAAAAGAATTTTAATATTAGATTATAGGGGCTTTTTACCTCTCCCAAAAGATTTTGTTAGGCAACTCTGGTGGCCTAGTGGCAGGAAGCTGCTCTACAATCCTGAAAGCACAAGTTTTAGTTCACCAGATGCTCAGCTGGAGAAAGAGGGGCAGTCTCCTCCGTACCAGTCAGATTCAATTCGATGGTACAGACACAAAAAATAATAAATTAAAAAAAAAAAAACACTTTGTGTTTATTTGATAGAAAAGGAACATTTAAAGAGCTTTAATCTTTAGTAACATAACCAGAATTATGAGGAGATAACCGTACTACCCGCGTGCAGGAAGGAGTCCCTAGATAATGTGGGCAGTTATAAGCCCAGGTTCAACTACTAGCTGTAAGGTTGGGAGTGGGACCCACTCAGAGGTAGCCTTGGAAGACAGGCCAATGACCTGCTTCTGAAGAATCACGGCCTTAAAGACCTCATGGCATTGCCATGAGTCAGAATCAGCGCAACTGTAACTGTCAAGAAAGTAACGTATGTTAAGTTGGAAGGGAATAACTTGAGAAAAGGCAGGCTAGTGGGCTAGTGGTGAGGGGCTCAGAACTGGAAATGGGAGGAATGTGTTTATTCTTTTGGAGTGAATTAAAATGAGAATATATGTTCACTTAAAATATCACACAGTCAAAAAATCTTGCCTTCATTGAGTTTAGAGTTTATGTGGGAACTAGGGCTGGAGACAGAAAATAAGTAAAACATAGTATGTCAGATAATGAGTTCTTTAAAGAAAGGAAGAGCTGAAGCGACACTGGGAGGTGCATGAAGGGAGGGGGTTTTGAGGGTAAGCAAAACCCTGAAGCTGTAGGGAAAGTGAGTGGTGCTGGTTCTGGAGAAAGGCTTATCCAGATGGAGAGCATGTCATGCATCTCTTCTCCGAGTTTTAGTACAGCTGGTGCTCACTGAGCAAGAGTGAATATTATCGAATTGTCTAGGAGCAGAAATGAGCCTCCAGGTTAGGTAGAGTCCTTCTAGAGCATGAAACAAGAACCTGAGAAAACCTGAAAGCAGTCTACAGATGGAGATTAGGGGCTGACACAGGGGTGGAGAGGTGAGAAATGACCAGGAATCTCTGAATCTGGCTGCTAGTTGAACTTGAGATGAAATTGGGATATTTAAAGAAGCCTTGACCTTTAGATAGTTGGATATCTTAAAAAAGAGACCTGGAAAGGTGAAGTTGAGCAATATTGTGGTCTTTAGATGATATTTCTTGGCTGAAAGATTTCTAACATTTAAGTGGTTCCTGTGTGATCAACAATCTAAAGAGTTAATTAGGTTTGTTATTCTAGGTAAGTCAGTATAAGGTTTGGATACATTGAAATATACCAGAAATAGTTTTTGTGTAGACTGCCAATTTACTCAAATCATTCTGGAGCTAAAACCCAAAAACACTCTAAAACATTTCCCTGAGTCTGTGTCCTAAAGCCTTCCGTTTGCACTGTCTTCAGAGCCTGAAGGCCATGAGGCTTTGTTAGAAGTCCTGAGAATAAGGTCTGTGTTGTGTTGTTGTTGTAGTAACTCTGGATAGGTAAAGTAAGTAAAGGGAAAAACTTAGCTGTGATAAGGAGGTTTATTTTCAACCCTTTTCTTTTCTTTCCAGAATATGAATAGCAGTCCATTAGTAGGTCCAGAATGTGAGCATCCAAAAATCAAACCTTCTTCATCTGCCAATGCCATTTATTCTCTTGCATCCAGGTAAGTTCATAAAAAGCTGTATTTCATACAATGGAATTTGTACTTTTTCATTTTTCTTTTTTCTTTTTTTTTTAATTTGTACTTTTCAATAGCTTATTTTTAGAAAATCTAGAGGAGTAGAAAGAATAGAGCAGAAATTGATCTGTAGTCATGCTATGCAGGAATTACTCATCATATTTTAGGATATTTCCTTCTATTATTTTTTCTGTATATATGCATGTAGATGAGCCCTATTTTAGAATGCTTGTCATTTTTTTCTTTTTTTATTTCATAAATCATTTTAAAGAGGTTGAGTGGTATTTTTAAAATTTTCTTTTTTAATTCTTGGTGGACAGTTAGGGAACTTGTTGGCCTTAGTGGGTAAGGAGTTGTGCTGCCAACCAGAAGGCAGGCAGTTTAGATAGAGTAACTGCTGTGTGGGAGGAAGATAGCGGTCTCCTTCTTCCTCCTTTGCGATTCACAGCCTCTGAAAGCCTGCTGCAGGGTCAGCTACCAGTCAGTTCTGACTTGATGGCAATGAATGAGTAAGTGGGCGTATGCATTTATTTCATTGATTTACTGCTCTTTATTTTATTCTTCCACCTTTCTTTAGGTTCAGTTTGTTACTCTACTTCATGTCTCATAAGATAGGTGCTTTAACTACATTTGCAAATTTTTGTTAATTGTGTTTAAAAGTAATGCTACTTCTCATTGTGATATCTTCTGTAGTTTGTGAACTCAATGTGTGTTTGATATTCAAGCTTTCTGTTGACTTTTTGGTTATGCTCTTGTTGCTGCTTCCAGATTTCATTCCATTGTAGTCAGAAATCATGGTTAGCTTTGATGTTTGTTGATATTTCTCAATGGACTGGTTTATGGTAAATTTCAGTATTGTGTACCATATTAATTTCATAAGAAGGTATATTCTGCCACAGGATAAAGGTAAATAATCCAATAGAAAAATGGGCACAGGATATGAATAGACACTTCACCAAAGAAGACATTCAGATGGCCAAAAAGCACATGAAGAAATGTTCAAAATCCCTAGCTCTAAGAGGGATGCAGATCAAAACAGCTATGAGATATCATCTCACCCCAGTCAGAATTGCAAAATTTAACAGAAAAGCAAGCAACAAATGCTGGCAAGGTTGTGAAGAAACTGGAACCCTTATTCACTGTTGGTGGGACTATAAAATGGTGCAACCCCTGTGGAAGGCAGTATGGTGCTTTCGCAAAAACTTGCAAATAGAAATACCATTTGACCCAGCAATTCCACTACTGGGAATATGCCCCAAAGAGACCATAACTGCCACCCAAGCAGATATATGCACACCCATATTTATGTTTATCGCGGCTTTGTTCACAATAGCAAAATGTTGGAAACAACCTAAGTGCCTATCAACAAACGAATGGCTAGAGAAGCTGTGGTATATTCACACAATGGAGTACTATGCTGCATTGAAATACAAGGAAGTCATGCAATATTATTCAAAATGGGTGACCCTGGAGGACATTATGCTGAGTGAAGTATCTCACTCACAAAAGGACAAATACTGCATGGTGCCACTGTTGTAAAGCAGGACTGACCTTGGGGTTGAAAGGAGACTGAGAAGGTTGGGTTCAGTAATGTATACTGCATTGAAGCAGATGAGGGAGAAAACTGTTTAAGAGGGAAAATTATTAGGTATTTTTGTCATGACAGGAGTCCAGAGCCAAGGCTGTATAGTGAAGTGGACCTGGGGGAAGGGATTGTAAAACAATGAAAGAAATTTTCTTTTACTTTTTCAAGAGGGTAGTGTACTAGGGGGGAGGGCTGGGAGGGGAGAAAAGTGCAACAATGAATGAATGGAAATCCAAAGTCTCTGTAAATTTTCATTGAAATTAATAATAAATTTTTAAAAAGGGAAGAAAAAAAGAAAGTATATTCTGCAGTTGTTGCTACAGCACTCTGTGAGTGAAGTCTACTTTGTGATTGTTTTTGAGTCTTCTATCTTCCTACAGATTTTTTTTTTTTACTTTCTTAGGTTAGATGTTGGGGGGGGGGAGTATTGTGAGGGAAGTATGTTAAGTTCTCTTATAATTATGGATTTTTCTTTTAGTCTGTTCACATGCGTGTTGTGTGTGTGTGTGTGTGTGTGTGTGTATACACACCCAGCCTATGTAATTAAGATCCATAGAAATTTAGGGTTATTGATGCTGTTTAAGATAAGTATCTCAAAAGCATTATATACTCATTCTTTCCTTAGCTCAAATCTAATCCGACAGTCTTTGACTTACATGATTCGTAAAATACATCATTCCTGTCTTTATTTTTAATGTTTTCGTGATTTGAATTAAAAAATTATAAATTCTGCTAATTCTGTTTGGGAGCTCTGGTAGCCTAGTGATAGAGAGTAACACTGCCAAACCAAAGGTGGTGGTGGTTATGTGCCATCGAGTCACTTGTGACTCATAGCGACCCTATGTACAACAGCTCTAAACTCTGCTGTGTCCTGT